TTTTTTTTTTTTTTTTCCCCCAACTGTTCACAAACTGGAGTATTTCTTATCTGGGACTAATGCTGTCAAGGACTCTCACCCAGACAAAGTGAACTTGTTGATAATTTTTCTTTCGGATTCATCCGCCTGTTTATTTTGGGCCTTCCTACCATCAAAACACCCTTTCAGATCCCCAAGAGCAGGCAGCACGTGAAAGGATTTTTAAAAATTTAAATGCGTCTTTCGCATGGCTGAAAACATGCGTTTTCCACTAGCGTGGGTTTGAATTTTCCCTTGTTTCCTGGCATTTGGCTGTTTTGCACTTTAGCGTACCCTTTCCACTGCTGGAAACAATAACCCTATTTGAAATTTCGCTGTGGCAATGAGACAGACCTTTTAAAACCTTATCGCAGCTGTTCAAATACAACATCATTGTCAGGTTAAGAGCCAGTGTCTTTTATAGCTGCAGCCTCCAGCTTCTGGGTTGCCGGAGAGTTTAAATATTACCTTCGTGATATTCGCTGCTTTCAAGATCTGTCCGCAGCATCCCCTGCGCCTGGCGCAGCCCCCTGCCCTCTCCGGGCACGCTTCACCGCCACCGAGGGTTGAGCAGAGAAAGGGGCGCCTCGGCGAGAGCTCTCTTTAAGATCATTATCAGAGCCATTGCTAAGATTTGCCTGCGCCGGGGAGAAGCTGCAGCGGAGCCCACGACGCTCCCTCCGAGCGCCGCCGTCCCCCCCGCGCTTTCTAGCAATTTCCTCTTCTTCAACAACAGCCCAGACAACCCACCGAGTTTAAAGAAACAAAATACTATTTTCCTTGACGCAGTTTAAGACTCGACTGTTAAATCTAATCAGGAATTTTATGCCCATCAAATGGCTCTTTCATAACCTTTATTTACACTTAAAGAAAAAGGGGTCCCAGAAATATCCCAGCTGAAGTATTAGCCCAGAGGTTTGCAGCGGGTTTCGCCCCACAGTAAAGTTAAAACAATAAGCAAATGCTGAGCTGCTTTCCACGCCAGCCTGACTGGTGCTAGAGGAGCTGACTTCTTGGCTCCTGATGAGACATGAGGGCTCTTTGATTTTTTTAATGGAAAATATGAATTTCTTGCATGTCACTACACGAATACTCAGATGATGGTTGTGATGATAATGATTTAAATATCCTACTCCGGACTGGCAAACGGCTCCGTTTTGACCCTTCGCTCACGATAAATCATGAGGGTTTTTAAAGACGGGCAGCAATTTTTTATTGAAAATGAACAGTAGGAAAGTTTAAGTTTGATGTAAATAGAAGTTGAATAAACATGCGAGAGCCACTGGGGAACTGGGGACTTAGGCTCTGGGCATTTAATGTCACTCTTGTTTTAAATCATATTAAAATGGAATCAAGTAATTAACATTAATAAATAAATCAATATTGTGCAATAAATGAGATATACAATCTACATTAATATAAAGGTTTTGCTCTCAGAGCCCCATATTTTTCCGAACGAGGAAGGAAAAAAAAAAAAAACCAACCCAACAAATGGGTCCATGCAGATGTAAATTACTGTTTGTAATAAAGTATAGGTGGACATTACAGTTTTCTCCTCTAGCAAATGTCAGGGCTAAAAACTTGAGGTTACCAGACGTGGCAGCAGGGCTTAATTTTCACTGCCTTATCTCCCTAAACCTTATTACTGGTGATATGATTATTTTTTCGCTCGGCTGTGCTGAGGATTCTCACAGTTGCAATTTGCTGTGTTTGTGTCTCATTATGGGAGGGGGATGGGAGAGAGGTATGAAAGAGGCTAGATATTTTACAGATGCCTTCAGTAACAAAGGTATTGCGAGAAATATCTTATTTCTAAAGCAGGCTGGAACCCAGGAAGCTTTTAGTAAAATTCCTTTCATTTACTCGATTTCAGCATTTTATTTAGGGCATCTTTAAATGCGTGGATTGTATATTTTATGTCACGCTGTTATATTGCAGGGAGATTGAAGAATAGTTTTTATTTAAGGGGGGGGGAATTGGCTAAGATACTGTGTCCTTTCTTCTTTTAATAATGTAACTGTCACATTGCCCAGATTTCTATGTGCCATATTTTCATAGAAAGAGTCGGCGTCTGGGCTGAGGGCTCAGATTCCCTGGATTTTTTTAACCGAGAGCGAGGGCGGGGGG